GTCCTCCTGTTCTGCAGATTCTATCAGGAAGAACGAGACCATCTTATACTACCCCTTCTGTCTAGATTTAGCCCTCTGCAATCTTATCTTGACTTTAGGCCAGAAGCCCTTCATAAATTCCTCTTGAGCCCCGGTCACACGAGAGGTTTTGGGCCGGGAGAGGGACGGATCGGGGGTGCAGCAAATGGGCGCGATCCCACAGCAACATCTGGGAAGTGTGGCGCGCCTGTTCCCGATCCGGCCCTTCCACCCAAAACCCCGCATCAAAAATAATCAGACATGCGCAGTTCGGCAGCCTCCCCCTCCCGACTGTCACTTCCTCCCCGGCATCTGATCGTGCCGGGGAGCAACGGTGCCGCGGCTCAGGGGATCCGTGGGATCCCGCCGCGGCGTCTCTATTTTGGTGCGGCTTTTAAAAGCCGCTCTTTGCCTGGATTTTTTCCTGCCGTGTGGCAGGGACCTTAGAAGACGTTCAGAGCTCAGTGACTTACGCTGTGGCAATATTTTGTTGCTTAGCTACAAGGAACCGTAAACTTATTTTAGCTGGAAAATGTGTATGATTCTCTTATTAACATTATTTTGTTATTAATTTTATTAACTTTCTCTAGTTTATGTTTTATACTATTCCCATGTTATTACTGTTTTTAATAACTCCAATTCTATTAAATTTTCCAGGCAGATCTGATGAATTTAATATCTCCCCCCTTTCATATTGTTCTAAGAAAATCACCTCTAAGGTGGCCAAATTTTGCCCCTCGGCAAGATCAACAAGGAAGCAGCTGGTCAAGTCTTCTTATTAATTGTCTCTACTATTGAAATCAGCCTGCCAGGCTGCCTGGAAATTTTATTGTTTGCAAATGTGCTGATAACTATGAGTGTCAATCGTGACTGATCTATGATTGTAACTAATAAAGAACTAAGAACATCACCTGCTACCTGATGGTCCTTTCAGCAGCAGATGCCAGGGATTGAACCCCGTCGGACCTTCTGCACACCAAGTCCCACCGCTATGCTGCCACTCCCACTATCCCACCACACTTCTTTTTGGGTTCAGTCAGCAGTGAAGCTGGAGAAGTGCTTCAGAAAGGCAAGCAAAAAAGAGCCAGCGGGGCTTTCCACTGCAGTAATCACCACCCTCTGGCCGTGTCTTCAGACCCATCCTCTGAGCAGCCAAGAGGGCAGAGCCTGATCTCAGACTAAAAGAACTCAAAACACAGGATTCTGTTCCCAGCTTTGTGTCAGGGGAGATGCATGGTTCTGCACCAGTCCTCGGCTGGAACACCGGACAAGAGCTTTTGATGTTTTTAGCAGAAAAAGAGCATGGCAGTGCTAAAGGGGGGGAAATGTGCCTCTTATGCAACGCACTCCCAGATTAAAACAGAATTGTGCAGGCGGAGGATACACTGACAGCCAGTGTGGTGTAGTGGTTAAAGTGTCTGGACTAGGATATGGAAGACCCAGGTTCGAATTCCTACTCTGCCATGGAAGCTCGCTGGGTGACCTTGGGCCAGTCACACATTCTCAGCTGGACCTATGTCACAGGGTTGTTGTGAGGATGAAACAGAGGAGAATTATTTAAGCTGCTCTGGGTCCTCACCGAGGAGAAAGGCAGAATATAAATAAAGTAGATAAATAAACTACCAGTTCCTGAAATTACTACAGCGGGCACTGGCTCAGACGGTTGAATAGCATTCTGTGCTTGGAGTTGGAAGCCCTGCATTGAAATCCTGTCCTCTTGGGCCAACAAGTTTATACCTATTTGTAAATGGGATTTCTGAAAACTGGTTAGGTGAGCCAAGACTGGGGGGGGGCAGAGGGGAGACTGAATGGAACCGCCGTGCTTAAAGGCAGGAAAATTCTGAATAAGAAATCCTGGAGACAAATAATGGGGAATGGCTTTTTCCTTCACGCTCTGCCTGAAAGCTTCCCAAAACTTCTGACCAGCTGTTGTGGGAGACGGAGTACTCATTTATGAGGGAAGCGGACAAAGAGAACTTTTTCTCCCCCTCCCAAAATACTAGAACTCAAAGGCATTCAATGAAGCCGATAGGCAGCAGATTCAAGATGGACAAAAAGAAATACTTCTTTACACCATAAGTGATTAAAATGTGGAATTCACCATAAAAACAGGGTAGACCATTAAACAATTCTTAATAAAAGGCTAAACATATATATGTCGTTGGTCATGAGTTTTTAGCTGTTGAATGGTTTTCATACAATCAAAAAAATGGGTAACAGTTTCCTAAGAAGTAGGACTGAAATAAAGGGTTTTCTGCTGTAGAGACCTGATCTGATATCTTTTCCATTGCCAGGTAGTCCTATATGTTTTGAAACCATTGCCTTGTAGAAGGAATGGTGTTGGTTTTTCAATACTGAGCTAAAAGAGATTTGGCAGCTATTAATAAAATTGTAATTAGACCCCGATGCTGGGAAAGATTGAAGGTCAAAGAAGACGGGGACGGCAAAGGATGAGATGGTTAGACTGTCATAGATGCAACAAACATGAAATTGAGCCAACTTCAGAGGACGGCGGAAGACAGGAAGGCCTGGCGTGATCTGGTCCATGGGGTCGTGAAGAGTCGGACTCGACTGTGTGACTGAACAACAACAATTAGCTTTTGTTTTAATTTTAAGATGGGATGATGGTTCCAAAGATTCAACAAGATGGTTTCGGGGCAGAATGAGACAAACTGGTCTGTGATACATCTAATATTTTCTAATATTATTCTCCATTATTCTCTAATATTACATCATTTTATATTGTTGTGTAAATCTGGTTTATACTTTTTCTACTCAGGAAAATTTTTTAAAGAAAAAGTTTTTTTAAATGTGGAATTCACTGCCAAAGGATATAACAATGGCCACAGGCTTTAAAGGGGGATTAGACAGATTCATGAGGGATAGATCTATCAGTGGCTGCTAGCCAGGGTGACTAAAGGGAACCTCCACTTTTAGAGGCTGTAAACCTCTGAATATCAGTGCTAAGAGGTAACATTGGGGAAGGCCTTGGCTTCCATACCTTGTTTGTCGGCCCTCCAAAGTAACTGGCTGGCTACTCTGTGAGACAGGATGTTGGACTAGACCGGGGTCCCCAGCCTTTTGACCTGTGATCGCATGGCTGCCACAAAAGCTGACCACAGGAGGTAGAGCTAGCCATAAAATGGCTGCCACAGTTTACCTCCAGTCACACAGTGAAGATCCTTGAGCGGTGGTGGCAGCTGCCACCAATCGAACATCTTTATAAAGGTCTGCACAGCCAATCAAACCTCCAGTGGCCCATCAGAAGACTTGCTAGGAAATTGCCCAATCTGACCCCTCCTGCTTTCTAGAAACACTTGACTGGCACCAGGGAAGCTATCAGGCACCGCATTGGGGATTGTTTTTTTCCTGACCCAGCACGCAGTACAATTTTCATGTTCTTAGTTTGAAAACAAAATGTCCAAGGCCAGCAAAATGACTGAGAAGCACTATGTGAACGATGCAGCATAGATACAATATAGATACAGCAACCTGCAAATTAGCTACTTTTGCTATGCAAAGCAAAACCATGGAGTTGCTTCAAAGCATTTTTCAGGCATGGAAGTGTTCCAACAGAATAGTGCAACATCAGTAATAACAGAAGACCTCAAGGAGAGCACCACACCCACGGTCCTCTAATTCACCGAATTTCAAACCTGTTGGACAGAAAGCCTGATATATTTTTTTCTCTGGCTCACCTGTCCTTGACAACTGCATTGATCAGTGGGTTGACTTCTTTGATCCTCCCAATGTAAGTTTCAATGACATTTACGCACGTCACCTGCAGGGGATCAGAAAATGAAGAAACATGGTTTTTCTTTTCTCCCTGCCTGGCTAGCTAGTTTTCAGAGTGGCATCACAGCATTATAACTCTGCTTTGTTTTATATAAAAGATAATATGGGTTGACAGACAGCAGGGTGGATTTGGACCTGGAAGCCCTAGGTGAAAGCCCCCCCACTCAGCCTTCAAGCTTGCTGGATAAATCTTGGCCGCTCATTATTTTTTAGCCTAACCTACCTTACGTGTTGCTGTTTGGTGGTAGTGGTGGGGAAGTAACCCCGTGCCATACCAGCTTGAACACCTTGGTGAAAGTGGGATCTGCTGATGCTAATAAATAAAATGAAAGTGATAACTGAATCCACACTGTGAGCATACAAGTGAAGGTAGACACCCCCCAACGGGGATGAGTGGAGATGGAGGGAAGGGGGAGCTGCTTATCAGAATGGATTTCTGGAAGAGGCCAGTGGCTCAGGCCCTCACTGTTATCCATCACTGCTCCCTTGTAGTGTGGCACTGGCTTCCTTAAGCCATCTGCTTGGAGAAGGTCCCTAAGTACCACAGGCCATTCTCAAAAGTCAGGTCTTGTATTCAGGTTTAAATGTCTGCAAGGCAAATGGTCTCAACCCAACACTCAATAAAAAATAAGGCAAAGGCGGATTCATTAGGTTCCCCTGACAAAGCCTGTTAGCGAAACATGTACGGAATTTTTTAAAAAATTAACAGAGTAATAAAATACTAGAATCAAACATCCTCCCCCCCCCCGGGAGGGCACCCCTCCACATTCCAGACCTATGACAGGGTTACCTGACATCCTGCCCCTCCCAACGCCCCCCCCCGGTTTCTCCAGAAAGCGGCGATGGAAGTGTCGAAAAAGGCAGGGAGTGCAAACATGTTACTCCGCCGCCCACT